CGGCGGTCTCGAAAAGTCACTCCATGTCGAGCGAGAGGCAGCAGAAGTCGAACACGCCACGGTGGGCGCGTCGCGCGGCGCTGGGGGGCGGGGAACAGAGATCTCAGCTTCTGCGTGTTCCCCCACGAGACGGACTGAAGTTTCAGGATCTCTGACCCCGAGTTCCTACTGCGAACTACTCTCGTTTTCTTCCCCTGTGAACCATAATATGCCCAACGCAGCGTCAGAGATCGTTGGACCATGCTCGAAACTCAGACGTCTGAAATCTCGTCCGACCAATGGGATCAGCGGATTGGATTCTTGGATAATATATATTTCGTTCTCTACATGGCCTTGTTTATCCCCCGTGCGGGGGTAAATCGGCGGGGGATACGGGGCGGATACCATACGATATAACCTTCAACTTGCCTTCACCTTGACTTCAACTATTAAACTAACTTCACTGTGCTTTTTTTATGTGCTTTATATACCCTTATACTACTGGGAGGAGAACCCCTGAATGCATTGGTCATTCAAAAAAATTCTCCACATCAAAACCTACTGTAATCACATTTTTCTTCACTATTACATCCTTCACATCACTGTCGTACTATAGGCCGATGTTGAACCTATATTGGGGCTACTCGGGGCTACTCGGGGCTACTCGGGGTTGGGAATATAGGGGGCTATGTATATCCAGTAGATCCCTCGTTCTTATTCGAATAAATAGGTGGGGCATCAGGTCTATTAATTCTTTAAACTTCTCAGCCAACGCTTTTTCATCAATTTGGGGCTAACATCGTTATCTTTAACCATTGCTCGTGCTAGCGATTTGATCACCCTTTTTTACGAGCGAGATATATCAATCTCGATATCTTTGCTTAATTAGGATCATCTGGCGCCCCCAGATTAAATTTTGTGCTGTTATACGTGGATGATAATGGGTGCTGTGGTAACTGATGAGCCTCGTTTGGTCGAAAACGATGTTCACGTGTGCGTTGCGAAAGCGAGGGCTCGTGATAAGTCACTCACCTACTCGGAAGCCTTGGCGTACTACGAATCACTCGGCCAACTCAAATCCAGTGACATCCGCGGCTGCAACCTTCACAAAAGGAATCGGGGCTGTATGAGTTACCGTTGTCGGTGCCCACGAGTCGAAGACTCGTTCACTGAATGGCTTATATAACGGCGTCCATCCAAATTTGTGTCAATAATTTTGCCAACACAGGGACTGCGGATTTTCTCCGCCCACTTTACTACTGATATTTCCAATTGTCGTGCTTCTTAGCACTGCCAAAATATTGCACCAACGCATCTCTCGTCCAAAGCCAAACGACCTCTACGCGAAGATCGACGTGTGTGCACCGGAAAATGTCCACAAAAAAGGAGAATGTGGCGAACCGGCCATCGCCGAAGTCCTTCTCAGGGTCCGAGAATCTTGAAAATTCGTGTAAATTTTTCGCCACCGTAAAACTTCGGACCCAGGTGACTCTTCTCGTCGACCTTGAGAACAAAACGGAAGCCCATTTCACGTGCGACGAATTTTTCTTGCCTGGCTTGGGCGCAGCCACCTCAGCCATACTTCTGCAACATAATGAGGAAAGTAATTTTCCTTTTTTTTAAATATGGAACAAGGGGGCCGGACTGGAGACCACGTCTTCCACGAGACCTGTTGCCTCCTCCCTGTCCGGCCAAATATACAGTAACCAACAATCAGACAGCCACCGCCCTCGACGCTGGATCTTCCATCTCGTATCCATTCCTGAATTGTGTCTTTCAAGAAGGCTAGTTTAGGGGCATTGAGTCTGTATGGCTGTAGTTTAATAGGCTGCTGTCGGGGGTCTAAGAACTGAATCCCAACCGGGTCTGAGTCTACCGGTCTAAGGGTTTTATCAAACATACCCCAACAGTACGCTATCATCTCTTTGAAGTGCTGCTTCATGGAGTCCCCGAGCACTGGGTTATCTGTCACACCAATCCTTTTCATGGTGTCAATTAATTCTTGATCCGTAGCAGGTTTTACTCGCCACTGATCGTCGACGCCTAAGTCTTTGGGTTGGTCAGGCAACGGTAGCCCTCGCTCATCCCTGTCGGCGTTTTTCCACGGTGGCCAAACTTCGGCCTCCGCGGTTGTTTCGGTTGAGTTCGCAGCTGCTCCCTCAGCCTCAGTATCTTTCTGTGGATGCTGGTCAGCACTCCACAAGGTTCCGTCAGTGACGGAGTCCATCAACTGAACTGCTGTGTTTTGACTGAACCTGTTCCTGAAATCTGAATAGAAGGTTATGGTCCATCGAACCCCTGCTCCTAGTTCATGCGTAATCCCGGTTCGCCTATTGATTTCGCATAACCGGCCCCACGTGTCGATTCGCCTCTCAGGCTCTGAGACCAGTACGTGGCTGTCCACGTTGGGCCCTCCTGAAGTCATGACAGCGGTTCCTAAGTCCTTTGCGCTAGAGCGGGTTTTCCCATCTCTAGAGGCGATCGAAATTTTAATATTGGTAAGCTTGTTGCCTTTAACACGCCCCTGGTTTATTGTCAAGAACATGTCTCTCAACACCATCCACAAGTCAGCTATGGTGGGGTCGTGCATGATGGAGAAGGGTACTCCAGTCATATGACTGATACCCATCAGGAAGGATACTCCTTCTGGCGCGCCATCATTGGCCGCGCCACCATCCTCAGGGAGACTCATGCCTCCTAGTTTTGCCATCAGTTTACGATTATTCATTATCTTATCCAACAGTAGGTGGTCTACCTGCTCTCGCCATGCACTACTTGTAGATATTCCCTTAGTGTTCGGCGGAATTAGGCATCCTTCTGGGGAGATGTCGGTTCCTTCTGATGGGTTAACTTCATATATAAATTCCCCTGCTGTGCTGTGATCGTACGGCAGGAACTTTTGCTCTATCTCTTCCAGGCTATAGCGCTCGAACACCCTTCGCCTAGGGTCGAACACAATCGCTGGCCGATCTATATTATCCTGAAGGTTGATATCGTACTGGTGAGGCCAGTCATGAGTGATCAACACGAATTCATACGGAATCCTCCTCTCTGATGAAGGGGTCCCTCTGGTCATCATCCGGTTTCCCGGTCTCAGTCCCGCGCGAGCATTCTTAAACGCGGGCGACCATGGCACGTATTTGGGGTCCTCACGGTTTCTGTCTGGTCTGGGACGCACATCCTTGCAGATGTCAGGCAAGTCTATCACGCTCATATTCAAAGGCTCCTGAGCATACTCAGTTTGCATTGTATGTGCTTTGACCGAAGCCTTTGCTAGGTCTTCCTTTGTCATGTGTCGTGTGTTTAACCTTCCGTCTGGCTTGCAGACTGCGTCTTCGTCATACCAGGCAACTGCCATGTTATACGCCAAACATACCAATTTTCTCTTCTTTTCATGGTCATGTTCCGCCACTCTCCCTATGCGCCAAGTGTCCTGATCCATAACCATTGCAATGTCGGGAACTACATTGTCCCTCAACTCGTCCCATCCCGTTCTCATGGCCATCGGGTCCCCCGCAAAAATTTCGGATTCGACCCCGAATCCATGGAATATGTCTTCGAAATGGTTGTGTATATTTTTCTTATTAGCATCATGCCACGTGTTTAGCACTGCTACTGTCATCTCTTCTGAGAACGACGGTGGTATGCACTGGCAACATAATTTTAACATCATCGTTGCGTTGAGGTCATCTGGGAATTGAAAGTCTCCCTTCTTAATATCCATCATTCTCAGTAACTCTGGTGTCTTCACTGGTTTCATGTCGGGTCCTTGCGGACCATACTGAATTGGATTACCAGTGATTGTGTAGGCCGGCTCTTCTGCTGACCTTACGTAGTTATGCCCATTACGTATTAGCTCAATCTCCTTGTCCATGAGATCGTACGCTTCCATTAGCATCCTCTTCGGAGATATAAATTTTTCTTTGTATTCCTCCGCTGACAGCTTTTGCAGTTTCAGGTCTCTTTTAGAGGCGATGAGTCTTTTCCTGTCGGACGTCTGGGCTGTGAATTCACGCATGTTCAAGACTTCAGCATATGGTGTCTCCAACATCACGTATCTAGCGATTACAGGGATCTGTTCCAGGGTCCACATTCCTGGTCTGCACTGCTTCATGAGACTGAGGGTCCATAGTGTGAGCTTTACAAACTCCTTCACGTTCCTCTTCTGCATGTTGGCAGTGGAACCTTCAATGCACGATGGGCTAGCATGCCAGTACATCGAGCTCCACTGCTCTCGCGGTATATATTCGCTGATCAAGTCCATTGTGGCCTTGAATGATTTGCCCAGTATGTGATTTACAACAGTCACTCCTGGGAAAGTGTTTCGGTGAATCTCGTTGCT